TCACTAGGGGTAATAGTGAGTGGTGCCACTCCCATTTCCACCCCTTGATCCCTGGACCCATGAATCCTAAAGAGCACCATATATTGGACGCTGGTTTAGAGCATATACAGCCTCCTGGAGAAGACTGCCCCAACCTTGCAAGGTATTGCCACCTAGCTGGCACTGTAGTTGTGTTTTTAGAAGGCCATTCCATTGTTCTATCAATCCAGCTGCTTCAGGATGCTGGGGAACATGGTAAGACCAGTGAATTCCATGAGCATGGGCCCACTGCCACACTTCATTTGCTGTGAAGTGAGTCCTTTGATCTGAGGCAATACTGTGTGGGATACCATGACAGTGGATAAGGCATTCAGTAAGTCCACAGGTGGTAGTTTTGGCAGAAGCATTGAGTGCAGGGAAGGCAAATCCATATCCAAAGTAAGTATTTCAGTAAGGACAAAACACTGCCCTTTCCATGATGGAAGTTGTCCAATATAATCAACTTGCCACCAGGTTGCTGGCTGATCACCTCGAGGGATGGTGCCATATCAGGGACTCAGTGTTGGTCTCTGCTGCTGGCAGATTAGGCACTCAGCAGTGGCTGTAGCCAAGTTAGCCTTGGTGAGTGGAAGTCCATGCTGCTGGGCCCATGCATAACCTCCATCCTTGCCACCATGGCCACTTTGTTCATGAGCCCATTGAGCAATGATGGGAGTAGCTGGGGAAAAGGGATGACTAGTTTCCACAGAATGCGTCATCCTATCCACTTGATTGTTAAAATCATCCTCTGCTGAGGTCACCCTTCGGTGAACATTCACGAGACACAAATATCTTCACTTCTTTGGCCCATTCACAGAGGTCTATCCACATACCTCTTCCCCATAAATCCTTGTCTCCAATTTTCCAATCATGTTCCTTCCAAGTCCCTGACCATCCTGCCAAACCACTGGCCACAGCCCATGAATCAGTATATAATCGCACATCTGGCCATTGCTCTTTCCAAGCAAAGTGAACAACCAGGTGCACTAATCAAAGTTCTGCCCACTGAGAGGATTTCCCTTCACCACTGTCCTTCAGGGAGGTCACAGAAAGGGGCTGTAGTGCTGCCGCTGTCCACCTTTGAGTGCACAGCCGTCTGTAAACCAGGCACGAGTTTTCTCTTCTTCAGTCATCTCATCATAAGGAACTCCCCATAAGGCCATAGGTGCACACTGGGAGATGGAAGGTAACGTGACAGGAGTGGAGACCATCGGCATTTGGTCCACTTCCTCATGCAACTTACTTGTGCCTTTGGGTCCTGCTTGGGCCCA